AAATATATATTAAAATATGTAATATTATCTTCATTTTAATATAAAATAAAAAATATTTATTAATAAAATTAAAAACTTTTATATAAAGAAAAAAATTTGTATTTTATTATATTTAATTAATAAATTTTAATATTATTATATTATTTCTAATTGTTACTATATAACTTATAGTTTTTGTTTTAATATAAAATAAAAAATATTTACTAATAAAATTGAAAATTTTTATATAAAAAAATTTCAATTTTTATTATATATTATTAATAAAATTATATATATGATTTTATAAATTTGTTAGTCACTGTAAATAAAATTTATAATAATTTTGTAATTAAAATAACTTTGTTAAATCAAATCTAAAAAATTCAAAAAATGTATATAACTTATTTAATATAAAATAATAATATTTATTAATAAAATTAAAAATTTGATTTAAAATAATCTTTTAATTTTTATTATATTTTATTAATAAATTATATATATAATTTAATAATTTTATTATTTATTATAATAAATATTTATTTACAAAAAATATAATTATAATAAAATTTTATTATAAATATATATTTTATAATAAATTTTTATTTTTATTAATAAATATTTTTTGTTTATATATTAAAATACAAATAAAAATTATATTTTAATATATATTTTTAACTTTAATTTTAAAAATACTACTAATTATAAAGTTAATTATAAAATTTTTTATAATTAAAATTTAGTAATTTAAATTTTAATTATAAAAAGTTTGTATATTTGATTTTATATTAGAAATATTTTGAAATTAAATTTATAAAAAATATATATTAAATATAGAATTTTAGTTTTATTTTAATATATAAACCAAAAATATTTATTATTAAAAATAAAAATTTTATAATAAAAAAAATTTTAATTTTTACTATATTTTATTATACTTTTTTAATTTTCAGTAATTCATTATAAAAATATATATAATTAATTTTTATATTTTTATAATTATATAAATTATAAAATTCTATAATAAAATTATTTTTTTAAATTATTAATAAATTTTTATTATATTTGTTTTTAAAAATTTATTTTATAAATAAATCTATAAATGATTCTAAAAAATATTTGAATAATAAAAAATTTATTGAATAAATAAATATCTTATATATAATAACTAACAAATAATAGAATTATATATATAATTTTATTAATAAATATAATCAAAATTAAAATTTTATCTTTCAATTTTATTAATAAATATTTTTTATTTTTATATTAAAATAAAGATTATAAGTTAAATTTTAACATATATTTTTTCTGGATTTTTTAGATTTTTTTCTGACAAAATTATTTTAATTGCAAAATTATTATAAAAATTTTTTATAATTAAAATATAAAAATATTTTTGCAATAACTTTGCAATTAAAACAATTTTGTAAGAAAAAAATCTAAAAAATCCATGTTAAAATATAATTTATAATCTTTATTTTAATATAAAAATAAAAAATTTTTATTAATAAAATTGCAAATTTTTATTATATTTTATTAATAAACTCACATGCATAATTCCATAATTCTATTAGCTATTATATATAATTTTATTAATAAAATACAGTAAGAATTTTTTATTTTATATCAAACTAAAAATTATAATTTATAATTTAAATATATTTTTTCTGAATTTTTTTAGATTTAATCTGATAAAGTTATTCTAATTGTAAAATTTTTTATTATTATAAAAAATTTTTGCAATTAGAATAACTTTGTAATTAGAACAACTTTGTTAGATTAAATTAAAAAATCCAGAAAAAAATATATGTTAAAATATAACTTATAATTTTTAGTTTAATATAAAATAAAAAATATTTATTAGTAAAATTGAAACTTTTATATAAGCAAATATTTTATTTAGGGTTTATGATAAATATAGTTAAAAATTCAACATTATACATGTATTTTTTCTTGATCCAAATTTATCAAACAATGAGGTCTAATCAAGTAATTTGATTATGTTATCCAAATCCATACACACCCAAAAATGTACCCTTACCAGTCATCCTCGTCGTCTTCTTCGCACTACCCAACCTCAAATTCAAGTCTTCCAAACCAAAATTCCACCAAGCGAGTTTTACTTTTTGGGCAAATACGCGTAACCACCGATTCATTAAGCAGAGTATTTGGCGATTTAACTCTTGAACCTCAAGTCAAACAAGAAAAAGAGCAAGTAAAGATAGAGTCTAAAGTACAGAAAGATCAAGTAAGATTTAAAGAACAAGTAAAACGTGAATCTCGCGAACAGGAAATTATACGTGGTTCACAGCAACAAGAAAAATCAAAGCGTAATTCTCAAGAACAGGCAGATCAAAAGAGTTCACAGAAGCAGAAACAAGAACAAAAGAAATCTTTAGATAAAGAAGAAAATGGAGGATCCTCTATAAAAGGAACTGCCACCACCTCTATCTCATCAAAAAAATCACAAAAGAATGGTTCTAAACCCAAACAATATAGTTTTGCGTTCACTTCCCTATCGCCCACAAATGACTCAGTTCGCATAGTTGGCATAACACCAGGACTATCGTACTGGGGAGACAACCCTCACGAAAAATTAGACACCATACCAACAGGATATCTCTACTTAATAAAAACATTCAATTTGATAGTACCGCCAAACTACATATTTACCGTGATAGATTTGTCTGGTGTCTCGGGTCCGCCAGTACGCGAGCCAAAAGATGTCAATGGGATTACGTGGAACCTCGTTCCAATGTCCGATATTAAAGGGAAAGACAATTATCTAAAGATAGGCCTGATTCATCATCTACGGTATGCTATAGAGAAGGAAGGAATCAATCTGTGTATTTTGGCGGCGTTATTTTCTTCGGAGAAGTTTTCAGTGGCACGATTTGAAAAGTTGCTTGCGAGTTCGGATATCGGGGATCCAACAAATCGAAGATTGTGGTATTTGTATGAGTTTTTGACAGATACGCATTTGGAGTCTATTGAAGATTTGCCGCCTTTGGAAAATGAGGTTCTATTGCTTGATAAGAAAAAATATTTCACTTCGATGCCTAAATTGTCGCCGAGGCATCGGATGAATGTCAACTTGCTTGGTAATCGGGAGTTTTGTCCGATGGTTCGTCGAGATGGAGAAATTGGAATAAAGTGTGTGTCAAAGAAGCGACATCCAGGATCCAAGGGCAAAACACCAAAATTTAAAACATTATTGGATAAAATAGCCAAATCGGAAATCGCGGCATCCTATGCAATTGATCGTCGATCAATGCCAACTTCCAATACACCAGATGGAAGGGGAAAAGAAGCGAATGAAGCCTTGGTTGAAATGTTTCAAAGATACTGCGGTCAATCATTTTCAACTCCCGTGAACACAAATGACCTTTTTTACATATCTAGTAAATTCACTTCAGCTGATCCGCCAATAACTGATTATCGCAAAAGCCAGCCATTTATTATCAATAGTAATAAAAGTCAAAAGAATATTAACATTAAATATATCCCACCAAAACCAGAAGATGTAAATGATATGATGAACGGGTTATTACTTTTGTTTAACCAACGCCTGTGCGACTATCTAATGGATCCTATAGTGTTGACTGCCATAGTTTCATTCGGTATTGGCGTGATACATCCTTTCGATGATGGAAACGACTTGTTGTTTCGTTTCCTGTTTCATCATGTATTAACAGTTTCGGGATTCTACGTGGAAGATCCCATCTGTGTTCCATTATGTAGAGTGATTTTCCGAAATACGGATCGGTGGTCGTCCTCACTTGATCCATTAGCCAAATGGTTGATGCGGTTGATTTCATATCAGTGGAGTGATGAACAGAAAACTAGTTTGAAGGTGTTGACACATAAGACTGACTATTGGTATCGATATTTTGACGCGACTGAGTGTGCAAAGTATTTCACTGAACTTGTGAAAGAAGCTTGTGATTCTAATTGAAAATTCTATTACTATATTGGCTTATGAGAAAGTGCAATTTTTGATTCAATAAATTTCCACTCGGATCGAGTGCAAATCGCGTCAAATTTTGAGCAATAATATGTATTATTTATGCACAGAAATTGTTTATGCTACCCAGAACGTGGTCACCTCTAAATGATCCAGATTTATATTTATCATTTTATACAAAAAATTCTATATATAGTCATAATATATATATATATAAATAAAAAAAATATTTATATCCCATCAATGTATTTACTCGAAATAATATAAAGTTGAAGTTTTTTCATTTTTTTTACTCATCCGAACTACTACTTCCGTGTTTAAGATACTCTGACAGACGAACAGGAGTGTCTCCTCGATGTTGTTCTTCTGCTTGTATTTTTTGTTTAAGGTGAGGTTTCTATTCATTATCGTAAATCAAAAAAATATCGTTATTACACTCTTACGATAAGAAAATACTATATTTATTTATTACCTTATGCGAATGACGTCCATGATGATGATGATGACGTTTTCGTGGTTTTTCATCATCTGATTCTTCCTCCTCACTTCCAGACGAGCGTCTTTTTACGTCGTGTCGCACTTTATGACGACTACGACGTTTATGAGAATGATGAGAGTGTTTATCATTGTCGTCAGCTTCACTTTCTGAGTATTTTCGCTTCTGTCGACTATGATGGTGTTTTTCTTTGGAGTGCCTTTTGCGCTTAAGGTTTATTAATCGATGAGTAACTGCTTAATGAGTACACTAATAAATATTTTACTTCTTGAAAATAAAAGCTAAAGTTTTTACCTTGGATTCGTGTTCCTCGCGTTGATTTTGAGAACTACCACGTTCATCATTATTCTCTTCCTCCCTAATCTCGCCACTTTCTTCACTAGAATACCTCTGCCGATGATCCCTATACGGACTACCACTTCTACTTGGAGTAGACGAAGGACTCTTACTCGTCACTGAGTTACTCCTACTCCTACTAAGACTCCTACTTGGACTTTTACTTCTACTCCTACTTCGATTCTTTCTACTTTTTTTGTTTTCCCGATGATGATGGTGATGATGACGCTTCTTTGACTTTTTCTTTTTTGAAGAAGTAGCAAGTCCTGTAGTACTCAACCTGGCTTCGCGATCTTCGTCGAGCTGTTTTCGATATTTGATCAGATCGAGCTCGGAGAATTGTGGACCATCTGATTTTAGTTTACGAAATTCGTCCCTCAAAAGGAGATCATATTTTTTATTATTATTGAAAATTAACCGCAACGAGAAAAACAAGATTACATCAAATGAATGCGTGTATAGTAATTGAGAAGTGTGATTTAAATAACAAGTGAAAAGATCACGCGTTAAGGTATAAAAGAGAGAAAGAAAGTGTGAGCGTGAATTTTTATTTTACAGCAATTGATATAAAGAGAACCATATTTTCACAAGGTATCGAAGATTACAAATTATATTGATTCTAAATGAGTATTGAAAAAGAATGATAAGTATACCATGTTATTCCACTCTAATTCAAAAGGTATCAAGAAATTAAAGAAGACACGCATTATTTGACTTGAACTAAATTAATCAAAACCAATAACGTGAAAACTAAACACTAAAAGTCCAAACAAACCTTTTTTCGCGCATCAATGTAATCTCTTATGGTTCCTCCTCTTTCCATGTTAGAGAATGTTGAGATTAACTTTCATGATGCAATTAGATAGATCAAATTGATAGGACGATCATGTGGCACAGTGATTTATGAGCCAATCAACTAACCCAAAAGATCAATAAAAATATAGTGGCAATCAAAAGAAATGCAACATCAATATTTATTAATAAAATATAGTAAAATGTGAGTTTTCTTTTTATATAAAACTTTATCAAAAAAATACATATTTTTTAATTACAAAATTATAAAATATAATAAAAGTTTAAATTTTGATTTTATATAATGACTAACAAAATTATGAATAAAATATAATAAAATTATAACTTATAATCTTTATTTGGATATAAAAGAAAATATATTTATTAATAAAATTAAATACTTTTATATAAAACAAAAATTTCAATTTTTATTATATTTTATTAATAAAATTGCACATGTGATTTTATAATTTTATTAGTTATTATATATGATTTATTAATAAATATATTAAAAATTAAAACTTTTGTTTTATATAACAATTAACAAAATTATAAATCTTATATATAATTTTATTAAAAAATATAATAAAAATTAAAATTTTTGTCTTATATATAAAAATTTTTAACTTTATTAATAAAAAAGCTTTATAATAGATTTGCAATTAAAATAATTTTGTCAAATTAAATCTAAAAAATTCCAGAAAATATATATATAAAATATAACTTATAATTTTTATTTTTGATATAAAAATAAAAAATATTTATTAATAAAATTAAAACTTTTTATATAAAACAAAAATTTAAATTTTTATATATATTTTTTCTGGATTTTTCCTAACAAAATTGTTTTAATTACAAAGTTATTGCAAAAATTTTTTAAAATTAAAATATAAAAAATTTTTGCAATAATTTTGTAATTAAAATAACTTTTTCAAAAAAAATCTAAGACAAAAATTTTAATTTTTACTATATTTTATTAATAAAATTATATATATAATTTTATAATTCTATTAGTTATTATTAAAGTTGGAATTATAATTGGTTATAATTTGATCACAATTTTCTTATTAATTATCACAATTAATTGCAATTAAATTACAATTTTCTGATTAACTACCACAATTTATAATTAATTAAAATATTATTATATAATAATTTATAAAAATAATGTCTTACTTTCAAATTAATTATTAAAATATAGTAAATTAAAAATTTATTTTTATTAAATATTTTGAATTTTATTAATAAATATTTTGAATTTTATTAATAAATAAATATTTTGAATTTTATAATAAATAAATATTTTGAATTTTATTAAATAAAAATTAGACAGCTGTTATTCATACCCTCCAAATTTGTTATTTGTACCCCCCACGTAAGAAAATCATCACAGATCACATGAGCACATGATCTGTAATGTGGTTTCACTAGATGATTGATAGTTGTATTAACTTCTAATATGTAATATACAATGCAAAACAAGAAAAACTTGGTCTTTGACTACTAATTAAAAATGTTCAGAGAAAGAATTTCTCTCTTTATTTGCTAACTATATATGAAATTTCTAGTAATTTAATAGTACTAGCGTTCCTCTCTATTTGGGCAAGTTCGGGAATTGTGCCCAGGCTGTTGACAAAGAGCGCATTGTCTTGCTCTGTGCTCCACTAACTCAAATCTGGAAGAATCTCTTCTGATTGAGTTAGTTCCTTGACGATTAGTGACACCAGAAGGACGTCCTTTTGTAGAAACTACTTTGGATTCTGTAAAACCATTGCTGGAGTATTGATCATGCTGTTCAATGTTGTTCATGTTGCTGATTGTTGAAACTCTGGTCATTCTTGATATCTTTCTTGTAGATCCTGCAAGAGCGGTTGCAGTGTATCTTCGTGACAAAAATCATTTTCCCCGGCTTGCGATACCGACGAGTGACCTTGGATCCACCAATGCATATGAATATGACAGCACCAGGATGTAGGGAGAATTGTCCGAACACGTGTTTTTTTGATCACGTGTTCTGATGATCTCTGGTCCGGCCATCCATCGGAACTACAATCTGGTACCTGTAAAAAAAAATAAAAGACAAAAATCAGGAAAAAATCCAGTTTTTTAGTTCCGGAAAATCACAGGTTTTGTAAA